TTCATATCCATTTCTTTAACAATTGTAGCCATTTTGATCTTTCACCCTCAGGACACATTTTTCTAAATAAAACTGTAGCATGATCCAATGCATTCAGTGGCAGATTGAGCTTCAGTAAAAAAGCAGAAAACAGGCATTCTGCATTAACCCTTTAACTGTCAAGTTATTTTGATGATTTGGGTACACAAATTGTCAAATTTTTTTATTGCAAAGATCAAATGTTTAGTACAAAATAAAATATACTTAAGTAGTTAAAAATTGATATTTTGAAGTACATGGGTAAAATTTTTAAAGTTTTGTAGCCACTGCATATTTGCTTGAGGCGGCTGCCACTCAACATGGCAGTTGTAAAGTTCGCTTCTAGTGGAGCATTATTTTCTAAAAATGAAAAAAATTATTATTTTCTAAAAAAGAAATAAATATAAGTGAATACCTATTAGTAGTTCAGTAATTCAGTCTTGTGTGGTACAACTGGAAACACTTTTCCAAGCACAAACCAACTCCACAATCACTACACCAGAATCGTGATTCCTTCCTTATCTTTTCCCATTTTTATTTTATATCCTTTTTCGAACAACACACTTTGCACTGTCTTGTAGGCTCACGTTTCGCAGGAGTAGGAGGATAATGAAAATGTCGTTCAGTAAGACGGGCAGGGTTATCTATTGTAGGTGGTCTGCCAACATTCTTTTGTCCAGAAGCTGCATCATCATATTTATGTAAAAGCTCTTCTACAACTTGGATTCGAAATTCTAAAAATGTAATACGTTTCCCAACTACATTTTTATAGAGCAAATATGAGTTCCAAGTACCTTGTCTAGTAAATGTAAAATAATCTTTTTATAATATTTTTTCTGACGTTTTCGGATTGTTGGATGAAAGGATATTTCCTGAATCACAGCGATCTACACCACCCATAGTTAGACTGTAATTAGAAACAATCTTCGCCTTGAGTATATCTCCATTTTTTTATTTTTGAGGCTGACCATGGAAGTATCATGAATACTGCTCATCAAACACACATCCTTCATCTTCGGTTGAAGAATCTAAATCATCTATATAACGTTTCAAAGAACTGGACGCCATTTTACAACAAAAAGATCCCATGCACTTTGAACCAAAGAACTTATAACCTCTAACCTTTGAAATCTTCAGTAAAGTGCTGTCATCTATTGAACTGAGCGCACATTAACTTTTCCCGAGATACAGTCGGGTTTGACAAAGAGATGAAGCCGAAATAAACGTTTCCCGATATATATTCGGGTATAACAATACGATGCACTCAAAAAAAAAAAAAAAAAAAAAAAAAGAAAAAAAAAAAAAAAAAATTACCTCGAGTAATACTCGGGCGTGACATTTTCGAAAACCAGTGCTGTGCCCGAGATTATCTTGGGCATGACAGTTAAAAGGTTAACTTTTTGGTCCTTTGTTTCCAAAGAAAAAATTGTTTTTTTTCAATAGGACTCATGTTTTCGAGTACGCACATATTTGAGAACATCGGTTCTTCCATCGTTCAAAATCGAAAAATCGCAATGACAAACGGTACACAACGCAAATGTATTACATTTTCTTGAGGAAATTATAGAAGAAAATCATCCGTGAACAATTTTTGAAAACTACATGAGTATTTTACCTTTTGTGCAGACAACTAAACAAAAGATCATAATTTCTTAAAACTATTTCTCGAAAACATATGCGCTCGCACCACTCAATGGTAAGATGAAAGAAATCACAACCTCGATCTTGCTTTGTGGTCATTGGCTAATATATACTAAATGATACGTAGTGGCGCTCGATGTTCATTGAAGAACTGGAACATGACATTTTCAGACACATGTGAGAGCACTCACAAAGAAAATGCACGCCATTTTTTGTCACTGATGAAATGACTTTGGTTTTCTTTTATATGTGATATAGAGAAAAACCAAGTGCTTGGTTGGTCAGTATTGGTTTTTTAATTTTAGAAATAAATTCAGAATACAAAATACAGTACAAAGTCTTTAATCCGGAATGATCTATAATCCAGACCTTAAAGCTACAAACTTTCTACGCATGCACATTTAATGTATAATGGACTGTATAAGCTAGGCTACAGGTGTGTGTGGTGTCTTTAATTATGGCAAAGCACACTAGGGCTATCTGCCTAAGGGGAGGGATGCCTTCGTGGAGGATTTTCTAAGGGAAACTGGCTCGTATACACGTTACACATGGGGAAAACCACGAAAACGCCCACGCAGCCAGCCCGTTCGCGGGATTTGAACCTCGGACCGAACTACCAGTGTTCAGCAAGCTAGGCTACAATTATCTAATTGTCTATTTCAGTTAATGTTGCAGATTGCGTTGTTCCTTAATCTTCTAATTGGATCCGGCTTATTATTTTTTGAAGACTGTTAGAGCAATTTTATAAAAAGTAAGCTTGAACTTTCGATTATGTCAAAAAGAGTTTCCGATTCTGCAGCTGCCAAAGGATCTACAAAGCGAAAGCATGTTTCGACGTACCGTTTCCGATAGTCAACAAAAGTAACAGAGAGGTTATTGAAAACGAAAAAATTTCAATTGACAAGTTAGTCGGTATTCTCGACACAGCAATTACAGGACTTGAACAGTAGAACTGAACAAGAAATTATGTCTGTTTATGGAATTAAAGAGAAAGTATTAACACAAAAAATGAAGCAACTTAAACAACTTACATTGAAATAAATGTTTAAGAAAGTAAACAAATAAATATTAGGCTTTTTTTTTGGTAAATTTTGATACCCTTTAGATCATAATTGCTCTTTATTTCATAAATTACGGTTTCATATTTGTAATTTTATAATTTCTGCATGCCATCTTACCAGATTTAAATTGATGATCTATAATTCGGAAAAAACCCTAATCTGGAATCGCCGAAGTCCTGACGAGTCCGGATTAAAGACTTTGTACTGTATCTTACTTAGTAAAAATATGTTTTGAAATATACCAATTATTAACATAGTGCTCCAAAATATCTCTAATTAGCTTCATACAGAAAGCTTGATTTTTTTAGTTGCTTCTATTGATAAGTTTACATTTATCAAATTAATTTCAGATTCCTTAAGATGATCACTTTTTCACATGACAACGAAAACCAATGTTTGAGAAAATTCTAAAATGAAAGTCAAAACATAATGTTAACATTAAATTCATAGTATTAAAATCAGTGATAGAATATTAAACTTTTAACTATTCAGTTTAAATGTGCTTTCAATTTACTGCAAAAATGAACCTATGCTGCAATCCTGTTCACAGTACCATTGCTGTAAAGTTTAATTTGCAAGTCTTCAAAGAAAATGATCCTAAAGCATATTTAATACAAAAGTTTTGCATTTAAGCTTTGAAATTGCAAAGATTTCATTATTTGGAGAAAAGTCTAAAATAGTGTGACACAGAATTTATATTGTATTTTTAACATTTTAAATTAATCATTAACAAGGAAAAGATATAATACTACAAAGTGCACACAAAGTGGAAAAATTCAGTCAATCAGCATGAAAAGTAGCACAAAATATGTAACATAACTAATACAGTAGAATTCCAGAAATCCGCAAAGCTTGGGATCAGAGGTTGTGCGGATTTTAGGATTTTGCGGATTTCAGGACAGAAAAGATAAAGCATAATATTCTGATTATTGGATTATTAATTTTATGGCAAAGCACACGAGGGCTATCTGCCTAAAGGGAGGGATGCCTTCGTGGAGGACTTTCTAAGGGAAACTGGCTCGTATACACGTTACACATGGGGAAAACCACGAAAACGCCCATGCAGCCAGCCCGTTCGCGGGGATTTGAACCTTGACCGAACTACCAGTGTTCAGCGTCTTTACCGCTCGGCTGCTGGTGGGCTCGCATAATATTCGGACTAAAAGTGCAAAATGAATAAGGCATATTAGATACATTTAATTAAATTATTATATACATTATTGCAATAATGTATTATATGCATTAAATTATTATTACATATATAAATTGATTATATTATTCATTGTAATATATGTACACAGCATCGAGGTTTGCTGATTTCGCCTCATGCAAAGATTTCCGGTTTCGGATTCCAGTGTTAGAATCACTGTTGCTGTCAAATTGTCCAACAGCTTTTTCTTTATTTTTCCGTATATCATACACAATCGTGTCACAATTCCATACCATTCTGCTATTAAATCGGAGGAGTAGCACCTGCTTCCATCTTTTGCAGAATTTGCACTTTTTTGTGTTACCGTCAATGCAACGTGTTTACGTTTTTCAACGTTGCAAGCAGTAAAATCACGAGTGTGTTTCTTATCTGTTATTGTATTAAAAAGGGCTGAAATTAAAAATATTCTTAATTTATCCACAAAATATCCGGATAAAAAAAGGCAGCACTAAAGAATCGTGTGAAATGAAATAACAAAGCTCAGAAAATACAACAACGTGAATCGTGAACTTGAACAAAGAGTTGAGTGAATCGCCTGCTTTTTAACCTCGATGCAGATTAGAAGGAAAAACTTATCTTATTTATTTTATCTTATTTTTTAAAACTTTTTTACATCAATAATTTGGTATTTCTGTTTTGACTTATTATTATTCGGTAAGCATTTTTTTCTTCGATATTTCGTACTCAATGTTGCGGTTTCCGGAACCTATAAACTGAATGTTTATATTCTGAGAGGCAAAGTGGATTTCAGGAGTTGGCGGATTTCAGGTCGGCAGATTTTCGGTATTTGAAGTTAAAATGAAACAACAAAAATAGATGTAAAGATATATAAATATAAACATCCAAAACAACTTTCATTTTTAAAGAACACAGGTTTCGTGTCAAGAATTTCCCCTTCTCTAGAAATCTACTTAAAATGTGCAGAAATATTCTCTGCAACAGAATTATTTATAATTGAAATACTAAAAGAAACAATTTAACAAATTTTATATCAATATTTAAAACATGTTAAAAAAAAACCTGAATAGCAGTCATGCATAACTAGAATATCTTTTATGCAACAAATTTACCTGTTTTGTTTCAAAGGAGTTAAATGATTCCTAAGTTCCACGACAGGTTTTGTGAAGTTTGAACTAAGGCGATTATTCTTCTTAACTTGATGGACACTGTTGGTTAAATGATAGTTGCAATATGCAAAGCATAACTTCTGATTTTCTACATTTAGTTCACATTTAAGTTCTTCATGTAATGCATAAAATACTTAATATGAAAAAAGAAGATTTTTGCAAATATTTGGGGGGGATTAGCTTTTGAAAAAATATAGAAAAACTTCTAACTAAAAACTTTACAACTTTTTTACTTCATCAGCACTTATGCCATTAATCTTTGGTTTGAACTATACTGATTGAATAACATTTTATAAAAAATTTAAACTGGAATTTATGATCAAATCAGAAGTGAAAAATAAAAATAAATCCTTTTGCACTATTGCACTTATTAAAAAAAATCAAATTGTGATATGAATGTAGAATTTTACAGCATTACTTTTTTTATTCAGAACAAAAGCCCAAAGAATTCAACAAATATTTCACCTTTAAAAAATTAAAGAAGACGTTCTTGAAGATCTTACCAAATTAAAAAAGATGCCTTAAAAATTTAACTATAGTTAAAAATTAACTACCCTCATTAAACTGCTATTTATTAAAAAAATTAAATACTTTTATAAGTTTTTATAATTTTTAATTAGATAATTTTCATATTTTTTGAAAAAAATTGAAACTTAAATAAAGTTTCTTATAGCAATTTGTGGATTTTTATTTTAATAAAATGAATGATCTTGCAGGATAAGAGTGCAGAGAAATATATGATAAATTACTAAATCTTACCATTGTAAGTATTCTGCATTAGTGAAAACAAAACTGACACTAATTCATAATCTTATTTTTTGAAGTACTTAAAAATTTGCATTAAAATTTATGATTGTAACTTAGAAAAAGTTGGTAAATTGATTTAATTAAGATATTTCTCATTTACTTCACTACTAGTCTAACAGTCACAATCACTAAAGGCACAGTTAAAGTGTTAACCAAACTGAACACTTTTAAGCATTCATTGAACATAAATTTAAATATTGGTTACATAATGAACAGAACGTTTTCAAAGAAGCAATTGATGCTTATGTTCTTATCTGTATAAAAACAAGGAACTTGTATTATTCTTATATTTTAATGCATTTAAGTTAGAAGTTTTTCAATAGGCAGCAAATTTATGAAGGAAAAGGCATTAACATGAATAAATACTCTCCTCAAATATTCTTAAAGCAAGCCAACCATAAATTTAGATGAAATATAATAATAGCAACTGAAAACACATGCTTCAAATTCATGACAAACACATGCATCACGCAGTTTTTAAGCATGTCATTAGCAGATTAACAGCAAGCAAATTCATAGCAATGCATGACTGTTACTCAGAATGCTAAAAGTGCCTAGTTTAGCAAAAGCACCTTGAGTGAAAAAGGAGCAATTAAAACATAGCTTCAGAAATAAATGTTGTGTTTCTTTATATATGATTAAAAGAAACAATTATAAAAAAGTATAACAGGCCACCTTTTCCCCTTTGCCTATTTATAGCAGACTAGACTACAAAGAACACAAAATATAAAACATACAATACATAATTCTGTGACCTTTTTAGTATACATATTTAGTGTGACTTAGGATAATTATCAATGGTGTTTTATAAAAGAAAAAGTAATTTATATAATATTCCCTAAAAGAAGAAAGACAGCTAAAATATTCTCTAAAGGAGAGAAAAATTGTTACATATTTTCTATATAATAATATGAACAAATACACAAAAATTAGGAAATTACAAAACATTTTCTAAACATTCTTTTGGGCTAAATATAAATAGATAATACTAATCAAAAGACCCTATAAGAGATACCCTATAAGAGATTAAAAACATTGGGGTGGTCGCACAGAAAAAAGTACAACAATCTTGTGATCCAAGGACGCAGAAGCACAAAACTTCAAACATACCTTGTTCTTAGTTTAGAGGAAGGTTTCACTGTAATTTCTTTATGAGGAAGACTGCCTTCTTTTTCAAGCTCTTCCTGTAATTTTCGTTGTCGATATTGTTCAAGAATTGCTTCTCGCCTTCTCTTTTCCTCCTCCTTCTTTCTTTCAAGATATTCTTGCTTTCGCCTTTAAATTTAACCATTGTAAGATTAACTAAACTACAGAAACAGAATGCTTCAAAGATGAAACTAATATAACAAATTTTTGACATCAACCACCTCTCTAAGATGACAACCTTTGAAAAGCGACCAGTATTTCTGAGAATGAATAATCATGTTCTTTAAGGCTACTATTTCATTTCCACAAAAGTCTAACATAATCTAGAACCACAGGTGATCGTCTTAGAGAGGTTTCGCACTGAAGTTAAATCTATTTCATTGCAATTAAATCTATGTAAAATGAATCACTCCATAAGCTTTGAGATAAAAATATGTAAAATTATATGATAAAAACTTTATATTTTGTTAAACAAATCAGTATTTAGTATTCTCCCCCAACTCAAATTTATTTAATATAAATGTTATAAAATTTATTTAATCAGTACTTATCATTGAGTTTATATGCTATATAAAGTCTCTTGCAGGGATAATTAAAAAGGTATATTCATTTCAATTCTTTCCATCGACTCACATTAATTGCCCTTTTTTAAGTTGAAAGTGAAATAATCCAAACAGAAATAGCAAATACAAAATGCTTACTTCTTGATCAAATTTCTTTATTTATAATAAATCTAATAATAACAAACAACCTTTTTACTTAAGATGTTATATCTTGTAATTAATAACCACAGTATTTTCTCACTCTTATTCATTTTCCCCAGTCTTTTAGTTCTCAAACAGGAAAGGTATATAAACCGGTTTTGATGAAAGCTATTTTGTCACATTTAATAATACGACTTCTGGATTGGCATATCCAGGAAATGTTCAAGATGCTTTAAATTGGTATATATTCATTCCATTTGCTTGCACATAAATTAGAAATATGGTGTCCAACCTATAGTAATATTCACAATGCCATTTCTATTAATAAATAAAAAATGAATAAAATGGTGAATCAAATAATAAAATGTATACTCAAAATAATTTACAACACAAAGCAGCTAAAGAGAGTACCTTTATTTTCAAAGATAACACTAATTTCAATAATTCTCCCAATTGTTTTTAAGCAAAAAATAGCTTTAAACTTCAATTAAGTTATTACATAAATTAGCATCCACCGCTTTCAGTTTTGTATTAAAGATGTATCTTCTACTGCTACTTGAACAAAATTCAACCATTTGTTCTATCTGACTCTTTTAGCAACAAATACCTTTAACTGCAGATTTATTATTCAGGGACTATTTATTATTTCAAAGACCTTGGGGGGGGAGGGAAGAAGAAAGAAAAAGAAAGAAAAGAAAATGTTACCCTCAGAAGCAATTCACTGATATTGTAAACAGTAATTTCAATTATACTGACTGTAGAATCGTAGATCATAGCAGAACACCCTTTCATGATAATTCCTTCTTTAAATCCACAAATGAATAAATAATTGACTGCTCATATTATGCGATCAACTGTTTATTTTAAACATCAAATGAAAGACAAATAACAGCAATTAAAAATAAATTTCAATTATTCGTATATATATATATAGAGAGAGAGAGAGAGAAAGCTTATATGGTACTTAATAATTATAAAACTAGTGAAATCGAGCTTATGTTGTACATGAAATTACTCTACTATTAATCATCTTGCTAAATTTTAATGCTATTTCTTTAGAATTATCTCACATCTTAAGACTGCTTACAAATCGATAACACTAAAATGAAGGAGGGATTTAAACTGATTTACTTCCCACAGTAATTAAATGCCTTGCTTAAAATTTTACTTATTCTTTCAGTAGACCTTGCAATTGGCTTTTAGTCACTGTCAAATATAATACAGAATCTCTCAATGGTAGTCTATATTATGTAAGATGTTAATTCATGATCAATAATACATTTAAAAAATGAGAATCTGTTCTATATTTCATAAGCATTATATTAATTGCAAAATATAATATAAATAGAAAGTGAGATCATGTTTTACATGTAAAATAAAACTTACGTTTCATTAAAGAGTGACATGTACAACTATTTTGTACTGAAAAATTGTAATAACTCTATTTAGTTTTACAAATGAGTAACAAATTGCAGACATACACATAAAAAAATTTTGCCTTTACAATATTAGCTCTGTATAAATATAAACAAAGATACAGTTTCAATAAAATTATGTGCTATTTTCCAAAATAAAGCAATTTTAGAATTGTAATTTCAAATTAATGGAAAGTATAAGCCTTTTTTAAAACTGAAGAGGAAATAAATTTTCAAAGGAAAGGAATATTTAGACAGATACAAAGACAGACATAAAGGCGTAAACCTAATATTCTTATTCATCACAGCATTACATTAGAAATAAAGGTTTTGTTAAGTATAAGCTATATAAACAGATGTCATGAAAATATGAAAGTGCCCAGGACAATGTTAAATTGAAAAAGATACGCTATTAAAAATCCAATGTGAAGCAAACTTTCATTAAAAGCACACAAAAATATTTAACAGACTACTCTACAAGACTACACTATTTTCGTGTTCCTTAACACTGTATGCATTCTTAGTATACACAAATGTCTCATCCTGTTTATATATAAAGTTTGTAACAGAATAAAATGAAAAAGAAATTTCATTATTTATAAGGAATTCATGCCTATTTTTTATGAGTTCATACATAAAAACATAAATATAGCATGTCAAAACATATTCATATACAAAACATAAATATAGCATGTCTTGCTGAAGGTTTCATTAAGTGAATACCAAAGAATATTATGGTGTCTGATAATTGGTTTGCAATAGATGATGATAACTGATCTACAATAGATGATGCTTATCCATTATTTTTGCGTATAACTAAATAGATTGTAAATTTTGATAAAGAATTTAAATTCATGTTATCAGTTACCTTATTAGTCACTAGATACAGAATATAATATAGATATAGTATATATAATACATGAAGAACTGACATCCCCAGAGCAACTAACTATAATTATGCAGTCCTTTATAAATCCTGGCCATTAAACTATCCTACACTAAGTAATAATTTAACTCTTACAAACATGTTTCAACTTCTGAGTAAAAAAATCTAATTTTATACTAATATGATAAAAGAACACATAACGCAAAAACAAAAGTATCCTGAATATCTTTGCTTTTTAATGCTTGTTTAAAGAGGTCACATTTCATATGAATAGTTTAATAGCATAATTTTCAAGTTTACGTATTTATTAATGTGTTGGAAACCATGTAAGTAACCAATTCCAAAAACAAATTGACAGTGTAAAATTAATTAATTAAAAATTAATCTAGATTAAATTTAAAAAAAAATATTCTATACCAAGATAGTATACATGAAATTAGAAACTTGCTTATTAATTATAACAAAGCTGCAAACACATGATTAAGTTCACAGTAATAAACTGAATACATTATGAATTAAATGTTTTAAAATATTATATAAAATTATTTAAAAGATAAAACAGAGATTTAAAATATTCGGAAATTATTTATTGCATTTAAATCTCTTAGTATATCAAGCAGTTATAACGTGAAAGATAAATTAAGCATATACTGAATGGCAATACTCTGGACACTGGTTATTTACCAGGGTTGCGCCAATGATATATAATACAGCAATATATCTAAAGTCATAAAATAAGCCACAAATTTTGGAAATAGTATGTTCAAAACATGTTTTGTAATCAATTTTATCAGCTGCTCATTTTTCTACAGCAGTTTCATACATAAAACTCTTCTACTTAATACACTGGTGTGCAAAACATAAGCAACAGGTGTTCTTTTTGGCATAACTCCACGAGAAATCATCTGAGAGACATGAAATTCAGAATTAAGAGACAGCATTTTGTATTTAAACGATGAAAGCATAATTGCTCTAAAAATGAATACAATGCATACAGTATGGAATCAAACAAAAACAGGCTTTATTGAACTCATAGTATCGTTACACATGATTGTCTGCACAAAAGGAAGAACAAGCAGGTGTTCCTTAGTATGGGATATGATCTCCCCTTACTGCAATGGTTGCTTCGAACGGTCTCTCCATACTCAGCACCAGATTGTCCAACAGATTTTGAGGTAAGAGTGCCCGTTCCTCAATCAACATCTGTTTCAGTTGCTGGGTGTTTCCCGGAGGATGTAATCGTGTCACAAGCGTCTCCCAAAGCATCCCACACATGTTCTATGGGGTTTAAATCAAGGGAGCACGCTGGCCAATCCATTCGAGTGATATCTTCACTTTTTAGTAGCTTCTGAACAGCAAGAGTCTGGTGTGGTCGTGCATTGTTAGCCATCCATACAACGAAGTCTGCTCCAATGACACCTCAGGAACAGACGCACATGGAGGAAAGATCACCTCCTTGACGAACAGCGATCTCCGGTTACAGAACTTCTGTCGGAAACGTGGAGCTCTGTCCGCCCGGTTCAGCATAATGCCTCTCCAGACGAGATCTTTCAAGGACATCGTAACGGTCTTCTTTTCGCGTAATGTTACTTGAGATTAAACCGTATCTCGACCTCTCTCCAAATCAATTTGTGTTGAGAATCGCTTGTGGCACTAAAATGATTCTCATCCGTAAGGAGGATACGACTCCATTGATGGAGATGCCCAGTTTTTGCGCTCCGTTCCACCACAGTAAATGGTGATGTCGATGGCCAACTTTCAAAGGGATGCAGCATTCAGGACGGCAGGCGCATAGGCCACCTTTGTGAAGGTGTTTGGACACAGTAAACCACAATTGTCGCCCGTTGCTGTTCACAGTTGTTGAGCTGTGGCGCTTGCTGACTGGTTTCGGACTGTTTTCATCTGCAGGACTATATACCAGTTATCTGCTGCAGTTGTTTTCCTACGACGGCCACCACCAACATTTCTAATAGCTGTACCTATGTAATGGAAGGCTTTCTAAACGTGCAAAACGCCACTTTTGTTGATTCCAAACTCTTCAGCTATACTGGTCACCTACACCAGATTTTTCGCCCCTACACCAGATTTTTTATCATTCTTCAACATGTGAAGTCATTCAGATCATTTCTTCTAGCCATATTTCATGAAAAAACTCCTTGCACTTGCAGCGAATGTCTTTAATTGCATCTCCATCCTTCTTTTTATGGTAATTTCGAGTTGAGCTCGCCAACCGTACACGTTTTGTGTACGCTCATGTAGCCTGTGACGTTTTTTTCTTTGCAAATGCATGACCTTTCTACTGAATTGCGTGTTCATTGCACTGAACACAAGAACCCCTTTTCTAAAATTTCATGGCTATCTGATTAAAATTTACATTGTTGATTAAGTTTTGCACACCAGTGTAGTTGGGGAAGAGGGGAAACAGGGAAAAGAGAGGGAGGAAAACAAATTTGGGAAAAAAGAAGCGATTGAAATTTATTAAAAAATTGATAAAACTATTAACAAGTTTGACACATTCCAAAAATATCAGTTTGGTTTTAACATTCCCTTGTAGTATCTGTCTATTTGACAACTGAAATTGCTGAAAATTTAAAAAAAGTGTTAAGAATTTTATCAAGTTAAACAGCACAGACTTCTGATCCAGCAGAGATGAAATTTGCAGTTCTGTTAGCAAAAGCAAGTTAATATAGCTATATTTAAAAAAGAATGAAGCATGCTTTCTAATGATTAGATATAATGAAATAGCAAGCAAAAGAACATTCAATTTTACCTTTCTTCTTCTTTGATTTGTGCATACTCCTGTTCTTTCTGTGCTCGTTTTCGCTCATATTCAGCTTTTCTTTGAATAGACATGTTCATGATCATTTCTTTTTTACGAGCCATTTCTGTTTCAGCTTCCTGGATTCACAATATTGAAAGTATAGTTATTACACACTTCATACGAATTCCAGCAATTTTAGGGTTTATATAAAAATACATTTAAATGCATACCTGATTTTAGAAGTTATGATTGCAAAAGCAATGATGATAAAAAAAAGTAACTGTTTACTGAGCAATTTTTAATCTGAACTCTTTAATTAAAGGCAGCATAAAATACATAAATTAATTAAAAAGCTAAAAAATTAAAGATTTTCAGTGCATATATGTATATGTGTAAGATAAAAATATGTAAAAGAAATTTAAAATTTTAATTTGGTTACTTCCGCTTTCTCCCCCCAAAGTAGTAATTATTTATAAAATATCAATCTAAACTGCTCCATTTAAAAATTAATCTGCATCATAACATCTTGGATAACACTGCAATGCAGATATCTTTTACCCAATAATTGAATAAGATTTCTATAGAAAACCAAAACTTTGTAATTCTCTCCCAACCTTCTTTTCAATGCAAAATGATTTTTTTGCTTTTGCTTCATTTTTGCAACCTTCCGCTACCTTCAAAAATACATTTCTCAAGTTTATCAATACCGAAGTAAATGTTCTTTAAGAACAAAGCATGATTGTGCTTATGTTGCTTACATTGGATTAATAAAAAATGTGCACGAAAAGTGAATAAAAAGGAATTAAGGGATCTTATCCATGTCTACAAGTTTCTTCATCTGTATGCATATTCTCTGCCTCCAACTATTTCGAAGTTATTGTTTCGTTAAAACTATGAATTATATATTCCCCCAGCTTTTATACTTATATACAAAGAAGTTTTACATTCACTATATAGACGAAATACAAAAAAGTGATTGCATATAAAAAAATTAACAGAAATTTCATTTTGAAGTTGGAGATCCCTTTCTCCCCCCAAAGTAGTAATTATTTATAAAATATCAATCTAAACTGCTCCATTTTAAAATTGCATATAAAATATATAAAAAGTGATTGCATATAAAAAAAATTAACAGAAATTTCATTTTGAAGTTGGAAATCAAATTTAAATGCCATTCAAAAATTGAAGAGAGAAGAGTTTGTATTCATATGTCAATGAAAATAAAATACCAGTTTTAACCATCAGAATATATATTGTGAATTATTAATATATTTTTTTTTCAAAAAAAGAGATTTTATTTATTAAGAATCTAATGCTGTAATATGTAATTATTAATATATATTCTTTCAAAAAAAGAGATCTTATTTATTAAGAATCTGATACTGAGTTTAGTCTAGAAAACTCTGGCAGGACTTAGTACTGGTGCACAGCGAATTGGTAACATTACTTGCAGGAACTAAACATTTAAAATATTTCTAATTCAACAAATTTTGCATATGATTATTAAATAACAATTCTTAAGAATTAACATTTCATGAAAATATTAACAATGTTTTTTTTAATGCCCGAAAATTTATAAACTGCTTACACGAAAATATTTTTGGTATACCAGTTATAACAAATTTATAAATTAAAAAATATTACATACTAGTAAATTACTTAAGAATATCATTGCATGGCATTTAAAAGGGGAAAAAAATCAACCTCGAATTATTCTAGTTTATAAATTGAATCTTCCAAGGCAAGTTGTAAATGGTGTCAAATTTACAACATTGGTCAATTTTTGTGTTTTGTATTTTACTTTTTGGAATGAGTATGAAATTTTCCTGTTTTTAGTGAAATTTTTCTAACTAGCACCTGATTAATTGGCAATAGCAAAGTAATGGAATTTTTGAAGATCTAAATTTAAAACAGAAAATTAGACTTACGAGATATATATAAAGGGGGGCAATAAATTTAAAAACATGGAAAATATTTATGTTATATAATATAACAAGCATATCCAACCAATGGACCAACAAATTACCCAGAATATAAAGAGGAACAGCTGATCTCTTTTTATGCTCTCAGTTTGAACTTTGAAGGTAGTGCCCATAATTTCTAGAAACAATTCCTATTGAAAGAGACCAGAATTACTTTGCTTGGAAAGATGTAAAGAATGTTACTTTATATCATTGTTAGTATAAAGTGTGCCCTATATTCATGTTTAAACTGAGTTATGAAGACTCTCTTGGATTTAAAACACGTCTGGTGCCGGTGGCCAACATCTTGGCTTTTGTTACATGTTCAGAGGAAGTTAGTATTGGTGAAGAGCACCTGTAGGTTGGATTGGTTTAGACAATCCAATTTCTATCTCTTAAAATGATGGCAAAATAATTAGTCTTTTACTGGGAATGGAGAAAGATGATAAGGAAGTTGAAAGCAACATATAAAGCAAGAAATTTACATGGAAAGAAACTGATGAAGGATTGCAAATTTTTATAAGATTTGCTAAGAAATGTTCATCTACGTCAGTACATAATGTTATGAAGCTTCAATGCATACACAACGAATTTGTAAAACTATGATGATAATCTTGTAAGCAGGACCACATTTGAAGTTATTTGTTAGGCATGGCCAAAATTCAGGGCAATAAGAGCAGCATGTTAGAATTCAGGAAACTTCGAGAGGTGCAATTAGATTTTCTTAGAGTTACAATTCTTTACTTAAATAACTTTAAAAGTAATGGAACAGATTTTTATGAAAAGAAACTTTTGAAGTAAATAAATGAGATTTTGCATTTTTATGCAATTAATATGGTTGCACATAAATCTAAATAAGAACTGTTATTTCTCTCAATCTATATTCAAGAAAATATTTTCTATGGTATACAGAACTGCAAATATCATAAAATGCAACTGGACATTTCAGACATAAAACCAAGCATTTCATTCTGGTTTCCCTCCCTTTGTTTTTTATTATTGAATGGTCTTGGCAGAAGTCTAATAAAATCAAAAGACAGAATCTTAATAGTCCTTGCAAGAACAACAATATAAAAAGCTTTTTCATTCCAGTGAAGAATAAAGCAATAATTTTTAAAATAGATCCACAGATTTTTCTGCATTTTTAACTCATACACATTTCTTCATAAACAGTAAAATGGGTGAAATGACTCTATTCTAGAAAGCTAGGACTAGATTTGGGTTCTATTCTAGAGAGCTTTGCTTGAATTTGCTAAAGAAGATGAAGGTGATATGCCAATGGGGAGGGATACTATTTAATAAAAAGTTCTTTGTGAAATTGGCTCATATATATGCTCTTTGAAATAGGAATATTGTTTGAAAATATGGTATAAACATTTTCAGGATTTTATATGAAAATAATAATTTAGTTTTACCTGTACAATAAGCACAAGGACCGACATATTAAGGTAACCTAGCCTACAACAAATTATGCAAATTGGATTATCAGTTACACTTTTTTGTAAGGATGGAACATTCAAATTCACAGATCTTGCAAGTCTTTAAAAAGATTTAAATTTGCAAAACTTGAATGTTAGTGCCTTTTATTATTCAAATCCTAAGAAAAGAAACTGCCAAATGTCCTAACTGAAAATTCCAAAAACATCAGGTTTATTAACTCACCAAAAAACTGAACACAAGTGGAATCTGATTCACTAAATTTTAACTGTGATGGCCTTGAGTGCCCCACTGTTCCAGTATGACATGCAAAAAATCAAAATTCTCACTCAAGTAATCGATGCACTGCACTTTCTTGAAATCAAATCTCGTGTTACCTCGATTATTCTGGACACAGACAACCAACTACAAATAGCTCCAGGATGGTTCTAAGAACCTATGGCTTGATATAGCAACACGTCGACAAAAAACTGACTCATGTTGGCTACCAGTTGCACTATTCAGTTATGGTTGCTAAATTTTGAACTCTTAATTGAAATCTGAGCAACTACTCAAATGCGTTTATCAAATTATATTGAGAAAATGAACCTCAAGATTCAAGAGTTTAATCATATATTTCATTTACTAAATTTTTTTAATGAACATAACTCTATTTAAAAAAAGTTAACAATTTTTTTTTTCATTAAGCGCATATTTCAAACACTACTTTGTTTAAAAACTTTTAATATGAAGTAAAAGCTTTGTTTATTTTTTCTTTGAAAGATTGAGAAATCTGATATTTGCAAATTTTGAAAATTATCAGGATTCAGATTCAAATTCAGTGAAATTTGGGATTTGACTTACATTTAGTTTTTTCCATATATAAAAATTATACATAATTGTAATATTTCTTTGAAAAATTTGAGATGCATCATCGTAATGCCAATGAATGTAGGTTTGTAAATATACATTACACAAAGCAGCAAAGCTGAGGAATGCAATCGGAATAAAATTCTCAACCTCAATATCGACTTCATGAAAATGCCACTCAGGATAATAAAAAGTCCTGAAAAACTTTATAAAAAGAAAACTTTATTGAAAGACTTTATTGCTCTTGAAACTTTATAAAAAGATAAAGTTTCAAGAGCTAAAAATAACTGAATGACAGAACAAGTAAGATGATCAGCTATGTAAAGGAAGATTCACACTAATATTTCTGTCAAAATTTCTTACAGAAGGCATATGAGATAGATATTTTAATCGAACTTTTATTAATGATGGACATTTTCTGACATATTGTGAGAGATTTTAATAAAAAATTGTGTATGTCCTTGTTATACATTTGATGCTAATGCTACTAATATAATTCTGAAATTCAACTCAGGTTCAAAGCACATGGCAGAACTATAACTAATGATGTCATAAAATTTACAGTTCGAACTAAATAGGAAGAAGATTGTCAAGTATAATTAAATATCATTAATGATACATGTAGTTGAAGAATGAACAATTCTGCCACTTGTAAATAATGAATATAACTTTTTTCTGTATTTTCATTTATTCTCTTATATGTAGTTTTTACATGTTATACTGCATCTTTCTGCTTGGACCAACTAGGTTTCAGATTTGAAGGCACCACCCCAAATTTTCTAATCTGTTTCAGCAAATATATTTAGGCATATTATACAAAAAATCTTACATTCATTCCTGGTAATTTTTTATGGCAGAATCAGTTGTACACATTTGTAAATTACAGCTGA